TTTGATGCATATAACAATTCCTGGGACTCTTAAAATTCTTATTTCCTGTAGAATTGGTAGTAATGTCTCCACTTTCATTCCTGATGTTAGTAATTTGAATCTTCTCTCTCTTTTTCTTAGTCAATCTAGTTATAGGCTAGTCAATTCTGTTAATCTTTTTTGAAAATCCAACTTTTGGTTTTGTTGATTTTCTCTATTGTTTTTCCACTTTCTATATTACTTATCTCCACTCTAATCTTTATTATTTCCTTCCTTCTGCTAGCTTTGGACTTAGTTTGTTCTTCTTTTCTAGTTCCTTAGGTTATAAAGTTAAGTTGTTGATATGAGATCTTTCTTCCTTTTTAAGGGAAGCATTTACATTTATAAATTTCTTGCACAAGATTCTTAACTTGTCTGAGCCTCAGTGCTCAACTGAAAATTGCAATGAGTACAGTTGACCTCCGTATCCACAGCTTCTATATCCATGATTCAACCAATTGCAGATTGAAAGACCTACTATGGTTGCATCTATACTGAACGTGTGTAGACTTCTATTTATATAGCATTTACATTGTATGAAGTATTATAAGTGACGTAGAGATGATTTAAAGTATATGGGAGGATGTGTGTGGGTTATATGCAAAAACTACACCATTCTATATAATGGACTAGAGCATCTACGGATTATGGTAATCCACAGGGGCTCCTGAATCAATCCCCCATGGATAAAGAGAGATGACTGTACCTGCTTAATGATATTTTTTTGAAGATTTAATGTAATAATCAATTAAACTTTTAGCAAAATGCCATTTTCAGAGGAAATGTTCCATAAGTATTAGCTGCTATTATTACTCTATTATCATTAGCTTCTATGAACTCAGGAAGTCCTAGGGTCAAGGATTACTTGACTCTAGATCTACCATTTACTAGAAATACGAATTTAGGTAAGTTTTTTCACCACTGTAAACTTATGTTTTCTCATCTGTAAAATGGAAACAATGTCTATCTGACAGCTCTATTATATGAATCAAATGATATATATGTAAATTATATAGCTAAAGGCTGTCACAGTACCTCGTAGTACTTGCTAACATTAGCATTAATCATCAGTCTTGAGTTGACAACAGGAATAGAAAAGAAGAAACAGATGCAAAAGGAAAAATACAATAGGTAGAGGGGAGGTATAACACAAAAAACCATTGGGACATGGTTACTGACTAAACATAGGAGAGAAAAAAGGAGTTGAATGCAAAGTTTCATGTCTTCTATGTTAGTTTTCCTCCTGAGATGCAGCCAAGAGGGGATCAGACATACAATTCATTTATTGGGGAAAATGCCTGTAAAGGATAGTGGGGCAGGAGTGGGAAGAGCCTGGGGGATTCCACAAACCACAGACAGACCATGATGCATGATCCCTGTGAAGGAGAAAGAGAAGGAAGGAAGCTTTAGTTTGCAGTGCAGCTCTAAGAGAGTGTCTACGAGGCTGACAGGGAGTCCTTGAGCTAAAGTCACCCATCAGGGGAAAATCGTTTCTCACAGATTTGCGATTGCTTTCATATCCCTGCTGGGAGCCTGTGGGAAGGGTGGTCACCGTGCATTGAATGGTGAGGGTGAATGGAGACGGTGAATTCAGAGTGCACTAGCCCAGGCCTTCTGTCAATTAAGTCCCCACCACAAGAGACCTGAGAGGGACAGAATCATGAGTAGACTGAGGAAGGAGGCCCTGAGAGGAAAGGCAGTATCCACCATGATATAAATGAACATTGAAGAGCCCCAAAGAATTATCAGCTGGCAGTGTCCTTCCTCACTCAAGGAGCAAAGATCCTATGCTCAGGAATAGCAGTTCCAGTGTCTGATATTTATATAGGTCAAGTGGCCAGTGCAATCTCACAGAGCACAAACCCTCAGCCTCCAACCACAGTAAGTAAAGCCACTCACCTCTGAGAGCTGGTGTGTTCCACCACGTGCCCTGCCCTAGCAGGGAATCCTGGATTCCCAAACCACTCCCTACCTTCTGAACTTTTAGAGGGGATCTCCACTCCCCAACATTAAGTTGGCATAGGTCCTCACACCCTTCCTAGCCACAACAGATTCCCCTGAGATATAGCCCCAGGAGAGATGGTCACTCTGCTTAAGCCACATAGGTCTGAGGAAGATGGACCTGTTTCCAGGAGCCACTTCCTCATCCTCCTGCTTCCCCCTCCTGCCCATTTATAGATGTGGGCATTCTCTTTTGGTGAGACTTTCCCTGTCTTGTGGTGCTCTGGGAGCTGTGGGCTCAATGCCCTGCCTTGCCACTGAAGCCTGTTGCTGAGAAACACATCAGGGAAAAAAATCAAGGTCTTATGACCTGAAAAAAATCTTCAGAACTGGATGTGCTTACCTTGATAAGGGGGTTGTCAGAGTGGCCCTGACCCAGGGAAGCAAAAGAAGAGTTACCAACTCATGGAAATACAAAGCTGACTTATGTTCTTAGAACAATGGTGTTCCTAAGATGTGATTTCTCCCTGAAGGAGATGGCAGGTGGTGGGAAGGTGGAGTGGGGAGGTGGCCCATGATCACTTAAGGAATTGGCTTCCCTCAGAGTTTGTGGTCCAGACCCAGGGCATTAGTACCAGAGGAGCGGCAAGAGTAGAGCCAGAGGATGCCTCCATCCAGTTCTGAAGATTTTTTTCAGGTCATAAGACCTTGATTTTTTTCCCTGATGTGTTTCTCAGCAACAGGCTTCAGTGGCAAGGCAGGGCATTGAGCCCACAGCTCCCAGAGCACCACAAGACAGGGAAAGTCTCACCAAAAGAGAATGCCCACATCTATAAATGGGCAGGAGGGGGAAGCAGGAGGATGAGGAAGTGGCTCCTGGAAACAGGTCCATCTTCCTCAGACCTATGTGGCTTAAGCAGAGTGACCATCTCTCCTGGGGCTATATCTCAGGGAATCTGTTGTGGCTAGGAAGGGTGTGAGGACCTATGCCAACTTAATGTTGGGAAGTGGAGATCCCCTCTAAACGTTCAGAAGGTAGGGAGTGGTTTGGGAATCCAGGATTCCCTGCTAGGGCAGGGCACGTGGTGGAACACACCAGCTCTCAGAGGTGAGTGGCTTTACTTACTGTGGTTGGAGGCTGAGGGTTTGTGCTCTGTGAGATTGCACTGGCCACTTGACCTATATAAATATCAGACACTGGAACTGCTATTCCTAAGCATAGGATCTTTGCTCCTTGAGTGAGGAAGGACACTGCCAGCTGATAATTCTTTGGGGCTCTTCAATGTTCATTTATATCATGGTGGATACTGCCTTTCCTCTCAGGGCCTCCTTCCTCAGTCTACTCATGATTCTGTCCCTCTCAGGTCTCTTGTGGTGGGGACTTAATTGACAGAAGGCCTGGGCTAGTGCACTCTGAATTCACCGTCTCCATTCACCCTCACCATTCAATGCACGGTGACCACCCTTCCCACAGGCTCCCAGCAGGGATATGAAAGCAATCGCAAATCTGTGAGAAACGATTTTCCCCTGATGGGTGACTTTAGCTCAAGGACTCCCTGTCAGCCTCGTAGACACTCTCTTAGAGCTGCACTGCAAACTAAAGCTTCCTTCCTTCTCTTTCTCCTT